ATCGGCTTTTGTTATATCGAAAGTATACGTTCGATTTGCCATTTTGTCTTTTACTTCATTTTTCTGTAGCAATTTACAAATATATGGAGCTCCTACTTTGAGCTCTGCTATATTTACTTTCTCATCGACAGTTTCTTCAATATCAGTTTCTGTCTTAGGATCTGTCTCATACACATCATTTATATATGTTACTCTTTCTTTCTTCATGGGTTTCTCAAATTTCTTATACCTTTGTTTTTCATATTCAATTTGTTCCACTCTTCTCACTTTATCAGCTAGCTGAGCCATGTCATTCAATGGTAAATTAACCAACTTTTTCCTAATCGAAAATTCTAAACCTGCGGAGGTCATTCTGACTAATTCATATTCAGGAATTTGAGTAAAGCACCTTGACTTCATCTGTCTAAATCTATTCAAATAATCGTCTATACTTTCATGATTGTACCTCTTTATATTCATTAAGTCGATGAGACTTACTTGGGTCTCTCCTCTGAAGAATTGCTCATGAAAATTTCGTTCCAATTGCAACCAATTATATATCGAGTTGGGTGGCAACGAAGTAAACCAAGTGAAAGCATTCTTAGTTAATGAACTAGGGAAATATTTCATTTTTAATTCTTCACTCATAGATAGGTCCCCACATTCGATCTGATATCGAGCTACATGTTCGATGGTGGACTCACCAATTTCTCCAGCAAATTTGGTGAATTTAGGTACTTTGTATCCTCGAGGTAATTCTGTCTCGAGAATCGTATTTGGAAAAGGAGAAACAAAATATGGTTGATTGGGTGGTCTTAATTCCACTCCTTGGGGATTCATCCTTTGTCCTAGCATGTGATTATACTGCATGTTATTTTGATTATACGCGTTTTGAAATCCCTCATTCAGATTTCCATACATATCATTCCTCATATGTTGATATTCATTCCCCATATGTTGATCATTGTTTCGATTTCTCCTTAATAAATAAGGGGGATTGATATTAGTATTCTGGTTGATGCTCTGAGTGACATGATTTTCCATTCTCGTTTGTCGAGGTATGGCCAATGCATCCCCGATACGGGCCATTTGATCTGCTAATATCTCAAAACTAGTAGTAGTATTTTGAACTAATGGGTTTAATACTGTAGTCAACTGTTGTGATAACATGTTAACCATCTCGAAATTGCTCTCATCCATTTGTTGTCTAAGTACTCCTAATGAGTTACTGGAGATTCCAGTACTAGCGCTTTCGATAGACTCAAAATTGGATTGATGATAATCTCTATCGAATGTGTATCTCCCATGATCCAGATTTGCTCTGTGATCTAGGTTTGGAGGTGTCTGTTGTGTACCTAAATTATGCACGCTCCCTGAATTCTGGGGGTTTACTGAATTTTGAGACGCCCCTAAATTTGGAGATACTCCGAAATTTTGCGGCATACCTAGAGTTTGAAATGTACCTAAGTTTTGAGGCATTCCTAAGTTAAATCTCGAATTTCGTTGTACTAGAGAAGTATCAGTCCCACTCATATTATTAAGCGAAAAACCAGGTGGTCTTACGCTCATATACGACCCTGCATATGTTGTTATGGGGTTCCCCATAGTTTGCATATTGTTTGGTATCACAGTACTAGATCCTACCTGAGTATTTGTTAATGTAGTTGAACTTTGTTCATTACTCACAGGTATCGACATACCTACGGTTGTCGATACTACAGGCATATTCTCATTATGCCCTTGCCCCCCAGTGTTTGGTGGATGTGAACCATTCACACTGTTCAAACCCTCACTGTTACTCTGGTTATTTGGTGGATTCTGACTCATTCTTATTACTCGTCTACTCCTTAATCTCATACACTTTCGAACTAACCAATTTTGTGTTTTTTCGACACAAATACCCCTACCTGGCGCGCCAATTTGTTTCTGGTGGAATTTTGATCGATTTCGATTTCTAGAGAATTTTGTTCTAACCAAATTCCAACCACGTAGATTCTTTTTACTTAGGCTAGCAAATGGTTTTTAATCGAAATATGTATGAGAATCGAAAACCTTATAGTACCACAAATCTTAATGTAACCTAATGACAATCGAAAGCGTTATTTTTGGTATTTTTATATTTAAAGCACTCGAAGTAAAGAAAACAGTAAATGTCAAATCGAAAAGCAGTACAGAATATAAAGCTGTGAAGAAATGTAAAATACGGAAACCTCAAATTTGCATTAAGTGTAAACGACAAAGAATCGAAATTACGGAAATGTAAATAACAGAAAATTGAAATTGCAGAAATGTAAATAGCAGGAAATCGAGATTGCATAAATTTAAATAGCAGGAAATCGAGATTGCATAAAGTGTAAATAGCGAAAAACTTAGATGCATAATCTTAAAAAGTCAGATAACAAGGAATCGAAAGTACATGAACTTAAAGTTGCTTGAACGTAAACTGCATCAAAGTAAATTACATGAACATAAATTACCAGGGAAAGTAAAGAAAGCGGTACAGATAATCAATGAAAATGGAAATCCAGATCGCCAGAAACTTCATGATTGCGTCGTTCTCCGGTAGACTTCTCACTAGTATTTCTGTTCTCTCTACCAATTCCCTTTCTCTTTTCAGTCTTCGCTCTATTTATAGAGCATCTTTCAAGTAACCTCCCAAGAGTGGTTAATACCACTATCACTACGATCCTACGTGCCCGTTCCTTTAGTTTTACAGTTTTAAAAACTGCACTCCACGTTCTTACATATAAGAGAACTGCTCCTCCTTCGATCTCTGTTGCGGTTTAGAAACTGTTTCCCACGTTCCCTGTATGTGTTAACCGCTCCCTCGATCTCGATTTCAGACATCGAGTATTTTAAATTTTGCTTTTGATTCCCTTTAATTTTGTACTATTCTAACTTCAACAATAGGCATCGAAATTTGTTTCTTCAATTCTCGATTTTGATTCTCGATGTACTTTTATCTTTGTGGTTACCAGTTTTTACCAATTTCATCGAAAATACGTTCTCGATGTCTTTTACCAATCGTATGATCTTCGATTTTTTCTTTCATTCGTTTTTCGATCCCTTTATCGATTTCCCATTAACACCGTATAAATAATTCTAGTATAATATCAATATAAATAGAGTTTGTAAAATAAAATTGGATATTTACTTATATATGTGTATGTTTTTTAAATTTTAAATCATTAAAATAAATTAATTAAATGGGTTAACTTATTAAAATAAAATAAATCACATATTAAATTATCATTAACGTATCTAAAATTTATTTAACCTTCAAATTAAATGAGTCGATAAGCATAATTTTTTAATCTAATCAAGCTCAAATAGTGATGAAAAGATTAAATTATTTGTTCAAAGTGATATTTACATTTCTAAAAGTGAGTCTTCATACAATCAATTGCGTCACTTACGTTCTCCAAACGTTATCACTGAAAAAAAAAAAGTAAAAAGTTGTACGGAGTATGATAAAAATTATGTTTTTAAAAAATTGCATACGTTCTTCTGGAAAGAAGAAAATGACGAGAAAATATGAGTTGAAAAATAAAAAAGGACGAAATTTTTGTATTTTTTTAGAACCAATGAATATATTAAGTGCAATGAGTCCATCAACCCGTAAACACAAAACAATATTAAAAGCTATACCAATAAGAAAAAATAGAAATAAAAAATTTAAGCCCTGGTATAAAAAGAAACCAAGACCAGTAATAAATCATAAGTATATATACTAATTGAATAACATCATGAAGAAGTCGATTTCTACAAAAACTAAGTTAAAGATTTGTTTTTTTTTTCTTTTTTATATTTAGTTTAGTCTATTATGTTTTGAAAAATTAATTCTTTATTTTTTAATCGGTTCAATTTGATTTTTTTAGTTTATAATTAACATTGTTAATAATTTTGACATAAAAACGGTTAAAAATGTCACAAAATATACTTACGTGTCTTTGATGTGTTTTCGCATGTATAATTAACATTGTTATTTTTTATAAATATTAAATCAAATTATTAAATATATTAAATAATAAAATAATTATATTTTTTTCACTTTTTCATATTTATTTATTATTTATTAACAATATATTATTTTATAAATGTGTGTTTCTAAACACACTTTTAAGTTTGAATCATTGTACCAAAATTATTCTAATGAGTTTGACTTTATTCATAAATTGTTTGAAAATTAAATGATACGTTTTAAAGTTAACTTTATGGTGTTATAAATGTTTTATTGATAAATAAATTAGACCTTGATCTTGCGGTAACGGTATCTAAATTGTCTATTATTTAATTTGACAAATAAACGCATTTCAAGAAATATGATAAAATTATTTTAAACTCCTAGCAAAAGTCAAACACATAATTAATAAAACTAATTGAGATGAGACTTAACTAATATAAAAATTAATAAACATATTTTTCATTATAACTTCAACAACATAATAATAATGGCCTTATCGAACTTTATAATTATCCCAGTTGAAGTAATTTATCTATTTACTAGATATCAAAGATCTGAAATAACATTCATTCACTTTTATATTATATATCTATAAATTTATTTAAATGGTAAAGATGATAAATAGTTAATTTCTTCAAATTAGTTATATTTTATTTAAATCTGATATGGATTAAATTCATTGGTACGAGTCTTTAAGATATTTGGCACATAACTTTATCTATATAACAATAATATAATTTTATTTTTGTTAAAGTGTATTTTTATTATTTATATATGTATTGTCCACGCCATGTTGGTGAGATGTTGACTTTGGTCAATAATTAGTACATTGAGTTGGTTACTTTGAGTCATTATGACTAATCCGCAAAACAAAATCTATTACAAAGTGGAAAAATTTGAAATTCTAGAAACGAATACCAATTTATATTGTTTCGAAGATCAGGGAATGAACGAAAATATTTAAAATTAAAGAGTAAAAACTTTGTTTTTATATGAATATAATACAAGAAGTAAACTATTAAACTTAAGCATTATATCCCCAAGAAAAAGGAAAAACATGTATTGTGTTGGTGCTGGACACAGTTAACAATTGAAGTCCACGTTTAATTAACATCAAATCTTTTTCCCGATTGAGAAAATGAATTTGGACAATAACCATATATGCAAGACTCTCAGATGCATACACCATCATGTATGACGCAAGCTTGGAATTAAAGTAGGAGCAGAGAACTTAGTCAAGTATTGCCGAGGATTGTCTTGCACGTGTCCAATTACGTCAACCAAACACAAAGACAATAAATAGTTAGCACCGAGCGAGTGTCTAAAATTGAAACAACATAAATGTAAACATTACAGTGGGAGTCTTCCAAAAATTTAGTGATCGGAATTAGTTATCCAGTGATGGTGTGGGGTTGGCTCTGTCGCTGTGTCAGGGCACGCTGCATTCACATGGGTTCTAAGTCCGATACAAACAAACAACATAGTACTACCATAAGTAAATAAATAAAAAACAAAAACAAAAAATGTCCCATTCTATTTGAACCACCTTCGGATCCTATTCAACCCGTAACTTCACTAGGGACCTACACAAAAAGATGTAACAAGTTCCAATTGCAAAATTTCTCATCATCCCATTATTTGCACTGCTAACAAATTGAACAATTAATTGGTCATTGCCATTCTTCTCAACTCAATCCACACATGTTTGTAGTGTCTTTTTTAGCATTGGTTAGTAGTGGTGGTGGTCATCATGGTTAGAACCTAAAAGGCCCTGATGCATATCTCCATCATCTTTTATTCACGGCTTCATCCACAGAAGAGGAAGCAACATAAAAGGATGGTTTTGGCTAGGCAATTCTCTGCGTCATCTTCCCCTATTTCTTCATCATCGATAAAGTTTTTTGGGTTATTAATTGGTACACGCTGCCTCAAAAATTACACACAGGACAAACGAACGAACACAATAATATCTGTGAATAAATGATAGCTCATCCACAACTAAAGAAAAAAAAAAAAAAAAAAAAAGAAATCCCCCACGTTTTGCATAATTACTTGTTGCTCCTTCCTTGCTTGCAAAAATAACAGAACACTTCCACAAATGACAAAGGAAATGTTGGTGTTGACGTCATCTACATCTCACGAAATCTTTTTTTTTTCTCTCTTAGTTTGCTCGTGTGTTAAACTAAACCACGTAGAGATGTAAATCTGAACTAAGAAGCATTGACTTGGATGATCCAACGCATTCGTTCTATTTTGTACCAACATTTTTGGTTTCTTTTTCCTCGTCCATGTATTATAAATAGCATTGCTCAAAGTTAAGACAAAAAAATATTATAATTTCCATGAATAAAATCAACGAGAAGGAACTCCACAACTCTATGCATGTTCTAGGTTGCTGTTTTAATTAGAACATGGTGTTGTTGATGCAACCGACCAAAATACAAGCGCGAGTTTCCATGTGACATGTAAATATGGCATAGCCAGCAAAATTGAATTTTGGAGCTGAGAATCTCGAAGGTCAACATAAATACCAATTGGTTTTTAAGAAAATTGTAAAGAATAAAATTTAGAAAATTGCAAGGAATGTTTCTACACATGTAACAAGGAAAATTCTAGAAATGATTGATTATTGGCAATGTTAAATTGTTTTATTAAAAATGCATTGTATTACCTTAACCTGGTAAAATTTAAAGTGAAAAATGAAAAAAATAATTTTTTTCTCAACATGCAATTAAAAAAAAAGGAAACAAGGTAAATAACTAAAGTAAAACAGCTTAAAAAAAAAACTAAAAGTAAAATTAATATTTTTTTTCATATTTCTAAATGCGCGCTTCTTAGTTGATATGCACCATATAATAGTTTATATAAATTACACGAAAATAATTTTATATCTCTTTGTTTATATATACTTACTTTGTTTCATTAAATGGGTTAATTATTTACATTGGGAGACAAAATATAAAATATATGAACTTAATCTCATGCAATTAGCTTAATCCCTTCTTGTTTTTTCATTTTCTAATATTCTACCTCTATTATCAATCTTACTACCACCCCTTAGATTAAAAAAATACATATTTAATTTTTATTAATTAACAGTAGAAATCAGATTTGATCCCTTATATTTTTTAGTTTTAATTCACACATGATAGCATCGGCTGAAGTGAGATCAAAATTGATACATAAAAATAGTATAATGCTGCGTATTTTTCTCAAACTCGTCAAAATAAAAAAAAATCACACTTTTCATATTTAATTATAAATTAAACATCCAATTCGTAATGATAGTTCTTCATAGACTAAGTTTATATTGATTAGTTTGTTCTTTCACAACATACACTCTAAAATGTAAACAAAAATCTCTGAAAAGAATGAAATTTATGCAGGAGTTTTGTTTTCAATCTAAAACAAGATGTACATGAATTTCAATTAATAAAAAAATAAATTAATACGAGAGTATTGAAAATCACGTCACTACTTTTTTTATTGTTATATTTAATAAATTTACAAACAATAAAATACCCACCATCGAACAAACACATAACATTAAACAATTCAACTAATGGGCACGTAGCAACTCCATTTTGCTAAAGAATTACTTTCTTTCCATTATTTGTATCACGTGCATAATATCATGTTTGGACACGTGTAAGCTTATATAAAACAAATTTGTAAAGTTAATGCTTTTAAAATTTTTGAAAATATTTTTTAACACCTACAGGTTATTTTTAACTTATGATCGTAAAATTTCGATACAATTTAATAAAAATATATTTTATTTATTCCAACGAAATAACTTGTGATCTATATATATCTTTATAAAATAAAACTATACTAATTAAGCACATGCTTATTAATTATTATTAATAATAATATTCATGTACAATCTAAATATAGTGCCTTTAGATTATAAGATTCCGTTAAATCATAAAAAAATTAGAATATTAGGATTTCGAGAAATATTAAACAAGATGGTGACCACATTTCTAGTTCAAAGTCCGAAAGGGTTTATATACACACAAAATACAGTGGTTCACATAAACGACAGGCTTCTTAGATTCCCTGATCAGTCACCCAATCACATAATTGCGGTTGGAGCCAACCCCACCGTCATCAAGCACCACGCACGACAAAAAAACAAAATAAAAAAGATAATTTTTTTTCATCTAAAGCCTTGACCTTTATTGACGTACACAAAGAACAACTACTATGAACAGCAACATCTTACAGTTACAGCTACTTTCATCCCGGTAACAATCTCGCCGCTGTCACTGATCCAACCTCAGGAGAATCGCCGATTTGAGACCCTCTTGGCTCCTCTTTCCTTTAGGAACATTAATCACCACGTCCTGTAGCATAAGATCGTTAACGCACGACATGCTAGCGTGATGAACCTGAAACTCTAGGTCTCTCAATGCACCCATTAGCCTCGCCCCGGGGTGGTTAACATTTTCAGATTGCACCCTCACCATGGCATCGGGCCCCACGATCTTCACATCGATCTCGAGACCAAATGAGCCTGGGCCTCCAGGCCCAGGCCTGCTCTGGTCTACGATGGTGGAGGTGGTGGCGGTGCTCTGGTTATCCATGGTATCCGTCATTTCTGTCTTGATTTTTTTACTACCCTCTCTTTGTTGCTGCGATTCCAAGTACTCAATCTTCGCTTTGAGCTCGTTGATGTAAGCGACAGCATCGGACAACAACGATGCCTTGTCCATCCTCGAAACGTTGGGAACCACCGCACGTAGCGCGTAGAAGCGGTGGTTCAGCTTCTCCCTCCGTTGTCGCTCAGCCTCGACGTGGTTCATTGGCGTCTCGCGTCCGAGACCAGGCTTTCTGCCTCGTTTTTTGGGCTCCAAGGTTGTCGGGGTTATTGTGGTTGGCAAGGTTGGACAATCCGAATCAGAGTGTTCGGAGTCGACGTAGTTGTCGTTTTTGTTGTTGAGCGTTGTTTGGGTTTGTTTACGCTTTTTGGTTTCTTGGATTCCGGCGACGATGCCGATGTTGGCGAAGGAGATGGTGTGGTCGTCGTGGACTTGAACGGGAAGCGGATCTGGAAGGGGTTGGAATAGAGATTTGACATGTTGGACGAGGTTCCAGTTTTGCTTGATGGTGTCGTAGGATCCCATTTCCACGACGCCGTTTTGTGTGGGGATGGAGATCAACGTTTCGATCCCGTGCTCGTGGGCCTCGTTGGTTCTGTCGCAGTTGTAGAATTGGAGTTCGTGCTTGCTATTGAGCCACAACACGGAGCCCAAAGCAAAAGACTTGCCAAGGAGTGAAGTTGTAGAAGATGATGATGAAGAAGAAGAAGAAGAATAAGAAGAAGCATTGTTGATGGCAAAAGTGCGAGTCAACGACATGACGTAGAACCACTCGGCGTCGTTGATGTTTTCTGTTGTGGGGGATTTGGTGAACTTTTTAGTGGAAATGGGGGTTGGGAATTTTGGGGAAGTTTCTTTGGTGCCTTGGAAATGGCCTTCTCCGAAGGATAGGTAAAGGTTGCCATTGTCGTCGTGTGAGGCCTGCCAGAAAATGGCGTAGACCCACCAATCCGGTTGGCTTTGGAGGAGAAATTGAAGTTTTTGTTGAAGGGATGGTGTTGGGGTTGGGTTCTCTTGGGGTAGAGAGACGAGAGAGGAGGATGAGGAAGGAGAGATGATTAGTTCCTCCATGAGGGTGTTACGTGAGAAGAGGTAGAACTAGAAGTAGAAGGAAGTGTGTCTGTGTCTGTGTCTGTGTGTGGAGTGATGAGGTTGGGTAGAGAAGGGGAGAACGGAAGAAATGGTTGAGATGGTTTGGGCATTAATAGAATAAAGATAAGGTATAACTGATGTACGGATGAACAGTCCTTTTAGCGTAAGGAAAGAATGTGATTGTGTGAGATAAAGGGGAAAAATAATGCATTGATATTTGGGTTGGAAAGTTGAGAGTAGTGGCTTGTGCGTTGGGGAAAGGGGGGTTATATGGGGAGGAGAAAGTGGGGGGCAAAAGTGTGAAATTTGGTGGGAATGGCTAGGAAAGTTGGGTCTAAAATGAATGAGTGATGTTGAGATGCAGTAGATATTGGGCACCAATACACCCAATCTAGATTCATCTATGGAGAAATTTGTTATAAAATTCTTACACCTCAATCACACCTTTTTTTTTATATTATTTTTCTTATTCATCATCAAGTAAATCTATTTTAGCATTTTTTAAAAATCAATCAATTGATGAGTTTGATATAAATACCCTTTAAATTTGATATATAAATATATTTCTGTTCGATATGTTAATAGAATAAGTAAAATGAGGTGATAACGGTTATTTGGCAGATTAGTTTCTTTTAATCTTTTATTATATTATATTTAAATATAATCAATAGTTTGAATTCGTTTTTAATTTTCATTCTAAATTAAATTGTTTAATTAATTTTTGTTCCATTTATAATTTCTTTAATTAATTTTCAAAATTTTTAACCAACTCAATTTTAAATCAATAAATAAATTTCTAAGATATCATTTATTTTAATTATATATATATATATATATATATATATATATATATATATATATGACTACCTATTATAGAAGAAGAAAAAAAAACTGTTATCGTTTTACTTAGTTTTAGTAATTTTATTATTAATCTTTTCAACTTTTAAACATTTTATCAAATTATTTAAGCTTTTATATATAATTTTAATTTATATATCAGTTTTAGTTCTTTCATGAATAAAGACTAATATATGCATTAAAAAAATATAGGTTAAATATATTTTAACTATTAAGTCAATAATTATAAATAATTCCCATTGGCTCGTTAACTGTCTTGTCGATGTTTTTCTTACGACTTTTAGCTCAAGTGCAATAATCACTAGAGGTACCCACTTTTTCTTCACAATTATGTCCTCCGTATTACACAAATATACATCACTTCAGAAAAATGTAAATTTTATAATTTTTAAAATTATTTATTGAAGATATATAAATACAAATTAAAATATAATAATATACTTATACGTAACCAAATTTCAATACATTGTATGAAGTTATTCTCAACCTACTCTTTGTAATTATTTGATTTTACTGTTTTTATTATTTATAAATCAAAGTTAAGAAAAAATAAGAAGTTTAATATCTTATAAATGAGATCAATGTAATAAAACAGAACTAAGTAACTTTTTTATAAACTAAATATTGCATATATATTATAGTCCTCATTACATAAGATCCATGAAGGTAAGTACTCTTAATATTTTTTTCTCCTATCAATGAACAATGGTATTATTAAACATTATTGAATAGCTTAAAATCCATCATTATACTAATGCTACAATTTAAAATTTAATATCAATCATGAAATTTTTCTAGGACCACATTTGACAAAATCTATTCAAAAATGGAAAATGATTTTGTCGTCTTCTTTTGTTTCATTAGGTTGTGGGATGGATAATTTCAATCATCGTTAAATACGACAGCTTATTGAATTAAATTTTATGGGACGAATTGAAGTAAAAAAAATTATGATTCATATCGTCATCGCTTTCGATTGCCAATGAAATGAATACTATATTTATAAGCTTTTGTTTAATTATTTAATTTTATAATATTTGTAAACGTGAACCATGGGAGTAAGAAAAACTCATGCTGCATTAATATAAAAAGGATTATGTCCACTCAACATATTATATTCTTGCCTATAAAATTTGCAACATTTTTTTAACCTAATGCTTTTAGTTTACGGCTTGATTACTCCTCAATTAGTAAATATAAATACTTGATTAGTATCAATGTTTTCTATTTAACGCATACAGTTACTACTTAATTATACATACCTTTGCTTTCTAGACACGTGTCTTTAAGAAGGGGATAACTTAAGCTATTTTTTAATTCATGAGACGCAAATCCTATAGTTACAGCACTATATAATCTTTTGGATTTTAGATTTGGTTGTTGCTTTAAAAATATATATTTTGTGGTCATCTTTTCTCAAAACTACACGTGTGGGATATAGAAACAATTATTTTAAATTTGTGGTAAGATCACTGTATGTAAATTAGTTTTTGTTTTGAATTTTCAACCATGGATAGGTTGGAATTTAAGATCACTAATTATGCTGATATATGTTTCTATCATTGAATCATGAGCTTGTTGATATTCCAGTGTGTTGAAATAATGTGTTTGCAATATACTACTTTGATTGAAAGGAATGTTCTTAACTTTTTTTTAACGTTAATTTTCTCCAGGACATTTAAAGGTGTTCAGAGATGATTCTCCATTTTCAATTAGATTATTATTATTTTTTTAATAATATTATTATAGTGAATATCAGATCCAGACTCATTCCTAAAGAGAATAATAAAAAAAACTATTTGATAAAGAGAAAAATAAAAAGAGTTAAATATGTATTTAAATACTATTTTTTTATATGAAAAAACTATAATAAAATAGGAACTTTGTACAATAGATTAAATATTTTCCTTTTTTTTCATGCTGGAAAGATCGTAAAATTGCTGGTTTCTTTTTTCTATTTTCCAACGAACCAAACGAAGGAAAAAAAGAAGAAGATGTTTTTAATTTTTTTTTAATTTTCGTTATTTGGTCTTGTTTTCTCTAATTCGAACATAGGGTTTGAGTTTTTTTTTTTTAAACATATATGTGTTTCGGTGGAATTTTGATCGATTTCGATTCTAAGGGTGTTTTGGTCCTAATAAAAAATCTACCACGTAAGTTCTTTTACTTAAGCTAATAATCCGACTTTCAATCAAAACGTATATGAGAATCGAAAATCATAAGATATCAAGAAAACTGTTTTTGGTGTTTTGTCTTTAAAGTATCGAAAACAATAAAGTATCGAATCGAAAAAGCGAGAATATTAAATTACGAGGAAATGTAAAGTGCGAAAACCCCAAACTTGCATTAATTGTAAATGATAAGGAATCGAAAAATAGTGCAAATATAAATGGCAGAAATCGAAATGTGCAGGAAATGTAAATGACAATAAATCGAAAATACGAAACTTAAACTTTCATTGAATTGAAATGGACAAGGAATTGAAAATACAGAAACATAAAATTGCTCGAATTTAAGTTGCATCAAAATAAATTACCAAGGAAAATACGAAAGCGGTAAATGTACTCGGTGAGCAAGGAAATCCAGTTGCGGAAACTTCATCGTGTTCGTCGTTTCTCCGGTAGACTTTTCACTACTCGATCCTGTTCTCTGCCAATTTCGCTCCCTCCTCCTTCCTCTTTTGTACTATTTATAGGGCATCATTCAAGTCTTCCGAAACGAGTTAACAAGATCGATACCACGTCCTACGTGTATAAGGCGGTTCCTCTTTTACGGTTTCCCACGTTCTCACGATCTTCGCCTCTTCCATAACTTAGAAGCGCTTTCCAAACGTGCGTTTTGACTATTTCCCTTCAAGGTTTAGCCAGGGTTTCGATATCCACATAGACGAGCCTTCCCTTCGATTTCGACTTAATCGAAAACTTTGCATACCCGGCATCGATTCATTTTAACCTTAACTTCATATACTTCAAAGTTGTTCCATGTTAAGCCTTCGACTATTACTCCTACCCTTCGATTCTACCTTTCGATTTTATGTGCTACGTTCTTTATAATTGGACATCGAAAAAGTTATCATACGCTTTGTTCGTTTATCGATCATATTTCTCGATTTCACACTAACAAAATGCCCCACGAAAGAATATAAATGATTTACGTTTTATATTCTTTCAATATTCCCACTTAGTGTTCGAAAGCCCACAGGATTTAGGGTTTAGGGTTTACGGGGTTCTAGGGTTAAAAGGGGTTTTAGGTTTATTTTTCACTTTACGTCGCCGTCTCGTCGGTCTGTTGCCTTTCGGTACAAGTTACATTAATTACCTTTCCTTTCCAGTCGTTTCCAACTCCCTAGACAATTTCCCTTTAATCTTTCCTTGGTCTTTACTCCGGTTTTTACGCGAACTATCACCCTCTTTGCAATCTCATCTTCTCCTTTGAACTCCTGCCTTCGTCCCTGTTACCTCATCAGCTAATTTTTCCTTTTCGTTTTCCTAAGCTTACTCCAATGGCTACTTCATCCAAGTCATCCGATTTCTCGACTCCCCCTCTTGCCTCATCCGTTGCTACCTTGTTAGAGATTAACAACCGGAAGTTTGCTCCCCGCCTCTAATGGAGGAAGCTTCCAAAAGATTGTTGAAATGCGGGTATTAGTTCCTTATACTTGTTGAGGGGGTTGGTTTTGCTTTTGGGGGCCCCATTCTTTACGGTAGTGGAGCTTGTTTCTCCCCTCACCCTCTCAAGCATGACCTGCTCTTGTACATCGATCTGAAGTTAGGATCGATTTTCGAACCTTGTTTCTAAGGTGTATCGGACAGGCCCTCCCTCCAAAAAACCTTTGTTTACTAAATGGTTTGATAGGATCAAAGCTAAGTTTGGGAACCATTGGAGAAACGTAGGGATTTTCGATTTTTTACACTTATCTCAATGTGACTTGTCTTATTTAGACATGGCTATGTTTTTGGCTGCCGTGCATTTATGGAACAAGGAAATACATGCATTGGAATTACCTTGCGGCCCTCTCTCACCTACTCTTTTCGATGTCGCGACCATCATCTGGTTTAAAACCTATAGGGGAAAGATATTTTCAGGGTGCATTTCCTTCGGATAATTCACTGAAGTCAAAA